TTCCGCAGCCTGCCTCATAAGCACTAGGTCCTGAGTTTGATCCTGGTGCCAAAATAAAAAAAAGAATACAAGGGCCAAGCAAGAGCCTGAGAAAAAGCAGGATGAGGGGACCAGCCACCAGTGATAAGGTTAGTTACCCTTGGGCTCCAACTGAACAGGTTATGATACCATGAAATTTTACTGTCCTCCTTCTGAGGTCTATCTAGACCTTTTGAAGGGTATCATGGATTACACCATACTTGTTAGCATAGAAACAACATGCTTCCCCTAGAGCAGCACATAATCCTCGTTGTGACAAGAGCACTAGACCAAGCCCCCTTCGATTCTGGAGGACCATCTCAGCTGGTGACTCTACGTGGGAGTGAAGAGTCTCAATAGTATACTGCAGGCTTCCTAGGTCAGTGTCTACCTGTTCTGCTAAAGCTGAGAGTCCAAGTTCTCCTCTAACCAATGTGGCAATTCCAAGTGCCACTGAGCCAGCTACCCCCAATTCCAACAAAACTGGAATGACTGTTGGGGGTACTCACTTCTGTCTGTGTGGTAGTCCTGGGGATGCTACATTGTTCAAGCTGCCTTAAATTTACAATTATTCTCCTGCCCCAGCTTCCAGTGTGCTGGGATTAGAGGTGTGAGCCACCACACCCAGCAAAATCGTTATTTGAGACAGAATCTTGTGAAGTTATTCATGATGGGCCAGAAATAGCCATCAACCTTCCTTATCTTGCCAGAGTGCTGGGATTCAGGGAGTGCCACCATGCCCAGATTTCTCTATAATTTGAAAATCAATTTATATCTTTAGTATTTCTGTAAATGACAACACCGATATTCCTACTGAAACACCACTTCATAATAGCAATTTTGAAAACTACCACACAAAATACAGTCCTGCTCACAAAAACTGCTCTCACCCGGCCTGACTCACCAGCAGGGGGCAGGCTTGTCCCGCAGCTTGGAATCTTGGCTGCACTACAGGTGGAGCCAGCCTTGTGCTCCCATCTGCAGCCCTGCTGGCTGCCACAGCTCTGATTTTCTGAGGAATCTGATGAGATGGTGGCCACGTGGAAAGCTGTCGCATTTGTGCACTCTGTCCCCGCCCTCCTCCTGTTTTCAGGAATGGAGGAAGGGTGTTGATGTTGAGAGAGGTGAACCACTGTCCCTAGGTCTCTGCAGTGTTAGGGGTGCTGTGCACATGAGGAACATAAAGCACGGATGTGTCCTAATTCATAACATCTGGGCTTCCAAGATGTTAAAGAAGTTGCCAGTGTTTGACCAAAGCACTTAGTAAACAGAAAATCTCAATGCACTCTGCATTAAAATTTATTTCAGAAAAGCTGGACTTGGTGGTACATGCCTGGAACCCCTGTATTTGGGAGGGTGAGGCAGGAGATCACCATGAGTTCTAGCCCAGGCCGGGCTACAGTGAGTTCCAGACCAGCCTGAACTACATAGGAAGACCTTGGCTCAAAAGATTTTTGTAGGAAAGATTATGTTTATTTGTTTGCACAGTACTGCAGGTAGAACCTAGTAGACTCTACCACTGAGCTACATCTGCAGGTTTGTCCATGGTTCTATTTGGAGAGAGGGCCTTGCTAAGTTTGCCAGATGAGTATTGAATTTACTTCAGCCTCAGCTTCCTAATTCATTCATGTAAGAGACATACACCTTCATGCCTGGCTATGAAAGACTATGCCTTTTTGTTTGCTTATTTGTTTTGAGATAAGGTCTTGGTATGTAGTTCAGGCTAGACTTAACTCATGGAGATCCTCCTGGAAATTTAGGCATGCACCATCACACTAAGTTTTAGGGGAGACTACTCTTTTTTCTTTAATGTTAGCAAAATTTTATTAAATATAGGAAAAGAAACAGGCTCTGGAGAGTGAGTTTCAGCCAAGTAAAAGTAGGAAAAGAAGTACACCCAACAGCCTTGGGGAAGGAAACCTTGTAAGAGCAAAGAGAGTGACCAGCAAAGACTATTGTTTTAAACATTTATGAAAGTGGAACAGTGAAAATCTTTAAAACCCCTACACTTGTATGTACCTGTCCACTAGGTTTCCATTTGGAAGAGCCTCGATGTTATAGCCTTTGCTATGTGTGTGGTTCCCTCAGAAGCATTGTGTGAATGGTGGGAATATTCAGTCATTGGAAACAGAGTCTGAAACATGTTTAAAACTGTGTGAACCATGATAAAAGCAGGAGGTGATACTGAGTGTGTAGCTAGCTCAGTGGTAGACTGTTTGCCTAGCATGTGCAAGTTCCTCGCACCAGCTTAAAAATAAAAAATAGTCTATTATGGTGGTGAATGTCTGCAATGACAATACTCTGGAAGACTGAAGCAGGAGGGCCAAAAGTTCATATCCAACCAGGATAATGTAACAATTTAGAAGTTTTTCTCTTCTTCTTCTTTTGGGATAGTCTGTGTACTTCAGGTTGACTTTATTTTATTTAATTTTAATTTTATTTTATTTCATACTGGAGATCAAACTCAGGACCTTGCACTTGCGAGGCAGGCAGCAGAACCACTGAGCTAAATCCCCGGCCCCAACTTTAAAATCACTATGCAACCAAGCTGACCTCGAACTCATGGTGATCCTCCTCCCTCAGTCTCTTGTGTGCGGGATTACAGGTGTACACACCATGCCCAATGACCCCAGCCTTAAAAAAACAAAAATTTCTGGGCATACCATTAAGAGCAAAAAACCAAAAATCGCTGGGCATGCCATTAAGAGCACACTGAGATCAATAGACAGAAAGGAATCAAATCAATCAATATTAAAACTGAAAAATAAAATGTAAATGTGCTGAGGATGTAGATCAATACAGTCCCTAAGTTCAGTCCCAGGACCACCATTAAAAAAATTCAAGGCTATAATAGCTTTATAAAAAGTGCTATCATCCCCACAGAGAACAGAATGGAAAACTATATGATGTGGTGACTTGAGATTTAGTCACCTAACAGCAGATCATGTGCTCAGAGTGGCAGAGAGGAGGCACTGAGGGAGTGAGAGATGCTCAAGACTAAGGTCAAAGGAATCAGGCTGCAGGTACAAGGGGCGGTGAGGAGGGGGCTGGGCAAGGACTCTGGATGTTTCTAGTGGGACTCTGGGTGTTTCTAGTGGGACCCTGTGAAAAGCAGAACATAACAGATTCCCCTGTTACTGAGGGATCAGGTGTAAGGACAGGAAGACTTTTGTCCTGATGGAGCTAAGAAATTAAATGAAAGTTGCTACAAAGAGACAGTGGTGACTTTTTTTCCCACTGCACTAGTGATTGGACACAGGAAGTGCTGAGCTACATCCCTAGCACTCTTTTTAATTTTTGCAACATGGTCTTAACAAGTTGACCAGACTGGTTTCAAACTCATGATCCAAGGCTGAGTGTGGCAGTACACATCTGTAATCGCAGCACTGGGGAGGCTGAGGCAGGAGCATTGCCATGAGTTTGATACAGAATTCATTATTTGATCATGGTGGAGAATGTATACACAATAAATCAAGACACTGTTAGTTTTCCCAGCCTTCCCTGTCTGTAGGAAAACAATGACATTAAGCTGAAGGAAGACCTTTCTTTGACTCAAGGATAGAACACCTGGGCTTTTACCAGAAATTTAAGAGTCTAATTCCTCGGACACTTAGGATTCCAAAGAGGATTCTAGTATCAACTGACATCTCAGAGAACTCATCTGGCCAACCTTACTCTAAGGTAGAAACAACTGAGGCTCAGAAAGAGAAAGTAATGAGGCACAGGAACCTTAGTGGCAAAGCAGTCATTACATCACCTGGATACCACCTCTGACTGGGCAGACTTGTGGTCTTTCTCCTGTGTAGGAATCACAGTCTCCTTAAGTGTGGGCATCAGTATGACTCTGCAGACAGCTTTATTTAGAGAGTGACATTTTTACTATCCCTCAATTTTCACTTCATTAAACCTTCAATGCATGAAGATGTCAAGCCATTTGTAGAGAAGCCAGATAACATGTTGCATATTTTTGGTATGTCAGTGAAGCCACTTCTCACTACTGTATTCTCCTTAACATAACCGTTCTTTTATCTTGTAATATTTCAATTCAACCAGTAGATCAGCATAGACCAAAGCATCTCATAATAACCTGAGTACATTGTGGACATGATACAATCAAGTCACAAAAAGATTCTCCTTTGCAGAATAAATGGAGACCGAGGGAAAGAGGAGATAAAAGAATTCATTAGTCATGGAACATGGGCCAGAGAAAGATGAAATAGGGGGAGAAGAGAACAGAATTATACCCAAATGAATGCTTCAGTGAGAAAGTACTGAGGAATACATTAGGGTGCATAGAATTGACTCCACCCAGTTTCTCATTTATGCTCTCCACTGGACTGCCTTCCCTATTTTTCTACAATCAGTACTTACCTCAATGGCTTTATAAAGATGCCTTAGTAATCAAAGCATATATTGCATTCACTTCCCACACAGATGCACATCAACTCATGTTATTAAAGGCTCTGCAATCACTCATTATACAAACCCTGAGTATTCCCAGGGTATACTGTTCTTTTCACTCAACTATGTTATTGTTGTTTTGAATGTTGGATATGTTTCTGTGACATAATGAAGAACATTTATTTTAAATAAAGGAAAGGCATAAGATTGGATCTCCTTGGATCACACTGTTACGCAATCTACTGAAAATAAAGCAATAAATCGACACTGACCACCACTGAGGTTTCAGTCTCTACTAATGTGGTAATTCAATGTTAACTTTAGACATCCTTGTCCTGTAGATTTCCCACTGGCTCAAGTTTGAAATTTCAAATCAGTAACTCACTGTGAAATTTACTGTTCCCTAAAATTCCTATGTTGCAAACTAAATATGTAATGAAGACACCTGAGCTAAGGGTCCACTGAAATGTGATGGGCACATGAGTGTTTTTCCCTGATGAGTAGAATGTTACCAACATGAGAATGGCTTATAATCAGCATCAGCACATCTTTCCCTTGCTTTTTATCTCACACATGCTTACCTGCCCTTCAACAATGCATTGTGCAGAACAGAGGACCTCACTATATTTTTGCCATGCTCTTTGAATTTCCAACCTGAAAATGTGTAGAGAATATATTTAGATTCTTTTAGTTACTTATGTGTGACACTCTGATATAGGAACAGACAATATATAAAAACACTGATATTCTTAACTGGAATAAGAAAGCCATTATTCCCATTTCAGAAGGTTAAGAAAGCAGCACCTTGGGAGTAGGAACTTGAGAGCATGTTGAGGTTGAGTGCAAAGAAATCCTTTGGGGACATAATATATTAAAGAATTAAATCTTCCATGTGGCATAGACAGAGCACTACAGTGATCAAGCACAGTATTGCACCATATACATACATTTTAGCATCTCCACAGTAAGCTGAGCTATGAGAACTTGAGGCATTTTAAAATTTCTCTAGTTTTAAGTGCTTCAACTATAAAACAAGCCAATCAAAATTACACCTCAAAAGAGGTTCTTAAAATATTCAAAATATAATGCCAGGACAAAGACCTGCATATTGGATACAGTCATTTTCTAAGTGTATGTGTACAGGGCATTGAACACAGAATTGAAATTTTGACATGCTTGCTGAAGAAGTAATTCTGGCCTCCAGTATACATATTACAAACTAGGTCTGAAAGATGCAAAGTGGACACATACGTGGAATATCCCCCTTAAAAACCTAATGGGATGTTTTCATTTTGAAAGGAGAAGCCACTGAACATATTACTATACTAAACCATGAGGTGGTAGGGAAAGGTGGAAAATGACCAGTAGGGTTATAGTACTCAGAGAATGTAGAAATCATTAGTGGGAAAGTTAATGGAGTGGATTTGATAGAAGTCCGGTATTCAAGCTAAGGGATGAGATGTGACCATGCTGAAACTCCTATCTTTTTTGGAAAAGAAGTAGCAAGTGGAGAAATGAATTGCATTTGGAAATATACTGCACTGGCCTGACTGTGAAATTAAAACTTGCCATCATATTGCTTATCCTCTGATGACCTCAGAAACTGCATCTTCAACATTCTTTTTCTGTCTGCTGTAACAATTTTTGGCTATGCTTGTATGAGCTTAGGCTTCTCAGGAAGCAGCAGGCACTGATAACATGGGAAATTATTTTATGAGCCTGGCAAAAAACCTTTGTCATTTACTTTTTTCGTATTTACTTTGAGGATCTCAAAATAAATGGTGATCAAATTTATCTTTCCTTCAGGAATACTTTGTGTCTAATTCAACTCATGACATCTACAATTCCATTATTTCTCCTGAAGTCTAATTGAAAGATTGCTTAAATTTCCATCTTCAAAATACTTCTAAGTGTATCGTTTACCAGCACATAAACTGTTGGAGGACACATGCAGCCTCATGCAATCCACTACACTGGTCAACACACAATATAACCTCATATAATGATTTATGTGTTCTGAATGTCTAGTTACCCCAAAATACATGTTTTACAACCTAATTCCCAAGGAGATGGTATGATGAGGTGGGGTCTCTGAGTTTATTTCTATCATGAGTCAAGAAGCCTCAATAATGACATATATACATGTAAAAGAGAGGCCAAAGACACCTTGAACACCCCCAACTTGTGAGAACTCAGCTAGAAGTCACCATACGTAAACAATGTCTCATTAGAATAAGTTGCCAGTGCTTTGATGGTGGATTTCCTAGGCTTCACAATGTGAGAAATAATTGTTTTATAAAGTGAATGACCCTATGGTATTTTGGTTAGGTCCTCTACAATGCACTAAGAAAAGGTCTATAGATACATTTTGGTGAATGGTATGGTATACCAACAGCCATGGTAGGATCCAGATAGCAAAAAATAAAATAAAATAAAATAAAATAAAATAAAATAAAATAAAATAAAATAAAATAAAATAAAATAAATACATGTTTCCATTTGCTAATGCAACCTGATAGATGCACTGTCCCAATACATGTGCATACCTATGTCCTCTCATTCACGAAATCACATAATCACTGCCATGGGTAACCAATGGAAGTGTATGCTATGGGTTGCTGCTTAAATTAGTGTCAACACATTTAGTAGAAGCCTATGACAAAGATAAATCTTTACATGGAATTCAAAGCTAAAGAAACCTGCAACATTGGTTCCTAGAAACCCAAAGGCTTCTTTACATATTTTCAATACATCCACTCATAAATCTTTAGGAAGCAGAAAAAAGTATGAAATATCTCTAAATATTTAAGTATTTAAATATTAAGCTTTGTAAATTGATACATGTTGGAAGTACACACTCACATCCATCTTAAAGATCAGGCATATGTGTTTACATTTTGATTCTTTTTCTTAATTTTATTTTTTAGTACCGGGAATGGAACTCAGGTCTTTGAGCTTGTAGGGCAGGTGGCAGCACCACTGAGGTAAATCCTGGCCCCCAACATTTTGATTCTTATGATTTTCCTTCCCCTCAACCACCACCCTCCCTCTGGCTCTAGGTCCCCTTTTCCATCTCATCACCATTATCGTTAGTGTAATTTTCATTATGTACTCGCTTGTGACATATAAAGATTGCATTCCTTTTGGGCAGTTTGTACATGACATCAATCAAATCTTTTTGTCGTCTTCCCATCCTTGGCCTCCTGATCCTCTCCCATTTACTGAAAAGCTATTTCTGTTTCCTCATACATCCACTAACAGATGAATGAATGAAGAAAATACAGTATCCATATGTAATGGAATACCACTTGGGTATAAAGGAGGATAAATTCAAGACATTTGTAGGAAAATAGATACACGTTGACAACATGTTAAGTGAATTAAACCAGACAAATGAGCTGATGTGCCTTTAAAATGTAGAAAGTTTTCTGAACACATATATTACCACTTTCTATCAAAATGTATGAAATGAACTGGTCATGTCAATTGTTTCCAAATTTTAGCCTCAAAAAAACTTTTACATTTCCAATGAACCAAGTACAAATTTCACTGAAGTACTGAATACTTTCAGTTTAACAATATCCCACAACCTTCATACCAACTAATACCGAATACTTTCAGATATAAATACAATACAAACTAACTCACATTTGTAAAATATAAATAAATGAGTTATTCTGTGGACATATCATGAAATCATAGTCATGTCATTTTTGCTAAATTTAATCGTGTTCATTTCATTAAACCAAAAACCCCACAAAATCACATACCGAAAGTGTACAGTGCAATTTGTGACTATTTATATTGTGAAAATACCACATTCTTCCTAGATAGCATCTGTATCACCTAACACAATTACCTTTTGGGTATATGAAGAAAACCCTAAAAAGAACTTTTAGTAAAATGCAATGTTTTGTGGCACTGCATCTGTGACCATAGTCACGGGATCTATGCCATTTTGAAGCAACAAGAGAAGCATTGTGCTTTCTCATGCACATCTCTCAACTTCCCCATCCACACCCGTGGCAACCATAACTAAACTCTCTGCTTCTTTAAACTTGTCAATTTTGGATGCTAAAAACAAATATGATCAAGTTTTAATTTGTCTATGCAGGACATATTTCACACAATGATCTCTTGGTTAATCTACATTGTCACAAATGAAGGCTTTCCTTTAAGACTTAATAAAATTTCATTGCATGAATAAACTTCACTTTATGCATATAACTAAGCAATAGTTTCCATGTAAAATGTCCCTTAAAGGCCATGTACTGAAGACTCAGATGAAGGTGCTTTGTTATTCTAAATGGTATTATGGACTTTATTATTATGCACTTCCTAACCTTATCAGTGCATTAAACCATAGATATACTGGAGGAAGACTGTTTCTGCACTGTGCTTTGAAACATTGTATCACATTCCTAACACACCTGTCTCTGTCACTCTCAGCTTTCTCACATTCGGTAATTATACTAAATCTCATTTTGAGTTTGGCATGTTTTCTGATGTTATCAGAATCACACATTACAGGGCTGGGGATTTAGCTCAGTGGTTCTGCCACCTGCCTCACAAGTGCAAGGTCCTGAGTTTGATTTCCGGTACCAAGAAAAACCCTCACGCATTACATAGGCTTTCTCTTCAGTAGGAGTTCTTTCATGATTTTTGAGGGAAGTGGAAAAATGGGTTTCCCGTATTTATTGCATACATATGACTTCCCTCTCATGTTTTCATGAACTTGAACGCACTCAGAAAAATAAAACATTTCTCATATTGTTCACATATGTTCAGATTCTTTTGAGTTCTTTCATGTAATACTTGTGTACTGAAAGATTTTAATTTTGTGTACAAAACTTCTCTGTGCTGTCCTTTAATGTCAGTGCAAGTCACTTTATATATCCAAAGTTAATTTCCTCTCTTAATTTAATGTCTACAATGATTACTAGAGTAACTGACAGGCTTTTCCATATTGCTTACATACATCAGGTTTCTACATTGTGATTCTTTTCACGCCTTTGACAATTCTTGTGTGTGCTGAAAGCTTTCCCATATTGCTTACATATAGGGTTTCTCCCCAGCGTGAGTCCTTCCATGTATTTTACATTCACTGTGCCTACTGAAACCTTTCCCATTGGTTACATACATTCTCCCCAGTGTATCCTACCATGTTTTTTACACTGTGTCCCAAAAGCTTTCCCACATTGCTTACATACATAGGGTTTCTCCCCAGTGTGAATTCTTTCATGTATTTGACAATAATCACGCTTGCTGAAAGCTTTCCCACATTGCTTACATACATAGGGTTTCTCCCCAGTGTGAGTCCTTTCATGTATTTTATATTCACTGTGCCGGCTGAAAGCTTTCCCACATTGGTTACATGCATAGGGTTTCTCACCAGTGTGAGTTCGTTCATGTATGTGACAAGAACTATGTGTGCTAAATGCCTTCCCACATTGCTTACATACATAGGGTTTCTCCCCAGTGTGAGTCCTTTCGTGTATTTTCCATACACCATGTCTCCTAAAGGCTTTTCCACATTGTTTACATACATAGGGCTTCTCCCCAGTGTGAGTCCTTTCATGTTTTTTATAATCACCCTGTGTCCTGAATGCTTTCCCACACTGTTTACATATATAGGGTTTCTCCCCAGTGTGAATCCTTTCATGTATCTTACATTCACTGTGTGTGCTGAAAGCTTTCCCACATTGGTTACATATATAGGGTTTCTCTCCAGTGTGGGTCCTTTCATGTATTTGACAAGAACTGTTTGTGGAGAAAGCTTTCCCACACTGGTTACATACATAAGGTTTCTCCCCAGTGTGGGTCCTTTGATGTATTTGACAAGAACTGTAAGTGGTAAAAGCTTTCCCACATTGCTTGCATACATAGGGTTTCTCCCCAGTGTGAGTCCTTTCATGTATTTTACATTCACTGTGTGTGCTGAAAGCTTTCCCACATTGCTTACATACATAGGGTTTCTCCCCAGTATGGGCTCTTTCATGTATTTTACAACCACTCTGTGTCCTAAAAGCCTTCCCACATTGCTTACATACATAGGGTTTCTCCCCAGTGTGGGTCCTTTCATGTCTTTGACAATGATTCTGAGTGCTGAAAGCTTTCCCACACTGGTTACATACATAGGGTTTCTCCCCAGTGTGGGTTCTTTCATGTATTTTACAATCACTCTGTGTGTTGAAAGCTTTGCCACATTGCTTACATACATAGGGTTTCTCCCCAGTGTGGGTCCTTTCATGTCTTTGACAATGACTCTGTGTGCTGAAAGTTTTCCCACATTGCTTACATGCATAGGGTTTCTCCCCAGTATGAGTTCGTTCATGTATTTTACAATAACTCTGCTTGCTGAAAGCTTTGCCACATTGCTTGCATACATAGGATTTCTCCCCAGTGTGAGTTTGTTCATGTCTTTGACAATTACTCTGGGTGCTGAAAGCTTTCCCACGTTGGTTACATACATAGGGTTTTCTCCCAATATGAGTTCTTTCATGGTTACCAAATGAAATGTTATTATTTAAGGATTTCCAACTCTGTTTATATACATAGGATTTTGTCCCAGTGTGAGCTCTTTCATGTTTCTGAATATCATGGTTAGAATTCAAACTTTTTCCACATTGTACACATACGTAAGTTTTCAGCCTACTGTCATTTCTTTCCTGGATCTGAGCATAGTTGGGTGTACTGAAGGGTCTCATATCTTGCTTACATACAAAAGATTTCTCTTCAGCATTATTTCCTTCAGTGGAATCAGGATAGGATCTTCCACATTGCTTATATTCATAGAATTTTTCTTCACGATTTGTCTTTTCATGCTTCTGAAAGGACTGAAAGTCAGTGGTTTTCTCCTGTCTGTTACAGTTAGACAGCTTCTGTTCAAATCCATGGAGCTCATATGATTTGAATCCAGTGTTATGTATGACAGGCACAGTTGGTGATGAATGAGCAATCAGAGGCTTTCTACATGAAAGGTTTTCACCTGGTTTTATACCAAGCAGTTTCATGTGCACATTTGTATCGGGAGTCATAAAAACCTTTTCTCCATGTTGATACCATAATTTATATGGACAGCATTTATCTACCTCTGCACTTCTGTCAAAGAAAAAAATGACAAAACAAAACAACCAGTCATATTTAAAAGTGTCTTTATATTAATAGTTTGCAAGGAGGAGATCTGATTTGATGCCCCCTAAGCATATTTGATCACGAATTTACTGTACACTCTGGATGATGGCTTGGGAACAGCTTTTTACCAAAACAGTATTCACTTGGGAGTTTGAGAATATGTTTGCGATACACAATGGTTACTTTCATTTTAAGCAGGTGGTACATATGTACACCATATGTTGATCATTTTTCATACCCTTCTCCACGAATCTACCCTTCATCTTTCCAGAGCCCCTTCACCCTCTCTAAAATGTCTGCCTTTCTTTTCTACCATGTCTCCTTTAATTCTTAATTCATATTTTACGTTTCTCATATAAAATACAACTCATGATAGTCAACTTTCTGTGTTTATTTTATTTAATGTAATATGGGTTCCAGATCCATGCATTTCTAGACAAACGACATCATTTCATCCTCCCTTATGGCTGAATACCATTCCATTATATATACGTACCATATTATTTTCAGAGCTGGAGACTGAACCCAGGGTTTCAGCACTGAGCTACATCCTCAGAGTTATTTATCTTTTATTATGAGACCGAGTCTTTTCAATCATTAAGTTGCCCAGTCTGAGCATGAATGTACCTCAGTTTCCCAGTATGCTCCATTCTGCCCAGGTTGTCCCATTTTTCCTTTCCCTTCATCTATGAATAAGCATCTAGGCTGTTTCCAGAGCAGCAGTTGCTAAGTTTTACTGCTACAAACACGGATATACACGTATTAGTGGAAGATAATTACTTTAATTTTGAGGGAATATACCCAGTAGAAATATAGCTGGATAAAATGGAACTTCTATTTTCACTTTTTGGAGGAACCTCTATACACATTTCCATAGATGTTACAATACATTGACATTCCCACCAACATTATGGGAAGGTGCCTTCTAATACTGTATTTTGGAACATAAATAGACTGACTGCTTTTAAGGATTGCGTGAAAACAGCCATTATGAAAACAGGGATATTCATTTGGATTTTGAATAGTTCCTCAAGGTTACCAATGTTGCAAATACTGATTATGTATAAATATTCATAGCATTACTTACACAATCTGTTTGATAAGAAAGCAGTCTTTTGAAAATATATGAATATGTAATTAGATAGCCTGCACATGGCTCTCAAAATTTTAAAACAGAATTTTTTATATACATCTTTAATCAATGCCTACATACAGTCTCATGCCACAGTTTTATAATCTTCAGCATGGAAAATAATTTATTATCATAAATTAGATAATGTCACTTGTGGCATGTCAAACTCCCTACATTTCAGATATTTCAAATATTCAATTGTGAGATTCTAGATACTAAACATGTATGCATCTTTGGAGAAATTTTGTGCAATTAAAGAAATTTGAACATGGCTTCATTTTGCTTGTTTTTTTGATTTTTGAGACTAGGTCTCCCTGTGTAGTTCAGGCTGGCCTCAAATTCACTATGTAGCTCAGGCTGCCCTTGAACTCCTGGCAATCCTCCAGCCTCAGTCATCCAAGTGCTAAGATTACAGGCAGATGCCACCATGCCTGGCTCTCTGTATTTTTTTTTTTTTGAACATGGCCTCCTTTGTATAGTTTGCTTGCTTTTAATATTTCTGACCTTTTATGAACATTCTTGTAAAATTACCTTAGATTTTTTCTGTAATTTTTGTACTCATCTTCAATTTGCTCGTCATTCCAGTTTCTTCCTAAAATTCAGAAAATGAGATGCAATGATGAGTTACTACATTATTCAAATGTTATTAGCTTCCAGTTAATTTATGGTATAATATGACCATGCCTGGAAGATTCATAAAAATATTCCCATATGCCAATAAAATAAACTGCATTGATAAGTAATAACCAATGCTCTGATTGTATACATGAGAAATGATATCTTCCTTACCTACAGCAGCCACATTCCTAAAGTTTTCCCACATCACATCTCGGTGGAGCTTCTTCTGGGATGGATCCAACAAAGCCCACTCGTGCATGGTAAAGTTCACAGCCACATCCTCAAAGGTCACTGGCTTCTGAATCATCAGAAATATATTTCCAGGAAGAAGAGTGAGACTCACAACACGAAATATCCCAAATCTACTCATAAAAAGCTGAAATGAGACTGTGTCCCATACATGGTTACTTCATGCCTTGGTCAGCAAACGGTTATTCTTTATTCACATGCACTTGTTGCAAAGGAATTTTGATGCTAGATGGGAATTCACTACTAAAGAAACAGCAGAACGGGAATACTGATTCTCGGGCTGGTTAACCCATTTTATTTCTACACTGTTTGTAAAGCATGGATCATGGAGAGAGCCTAGTAGATCAGATGTGGGGTAAAGAGAACTAGGGTAGATGAATATTTAATGACTTGGTCTGACAGAACACAGAAAATATATCTATTTTCAAGTTATCATACAGGAAATAAATCCCTTCCTCCTCTGATTGTATTTAGACAGCATTGTGAAACCTGAAAGTGGTTTCATAGATAAAACTGTAAACACAAAGAAAATACATGAATGGTAATTTATAATGCTAATGAAAAGTAGTTCAGTATTCATTGGAGAATATCTAACAAAGAAATCAGATTAAGGTAGACATACTATCTTTTAGCTCACTGATATTAAATGCTTACCTGTCATAGAGATAAAAATTTTTAAGGTGTAATAGAAAGGGAAGCATGGGGACAGACCAACCAACTGAATGCCATGCCCATAGCTACAGGATAGGGCTATGCACCCAGGCCATGGAGGGTGATAGGACTGAAGTGTCTCCTTCCAGCCACACATGGTGGTCCATATGCCCAGCCCAGGGAGAGCCCCAGGACAGACTGCATATGAGGACAAATGGTAAACTTTGCAGAAGTACTCAAAGACACACACAAGTGTGCACGCACACACAAAACAGAAGAAAAGAGCATCTAGCAGCTACTAGACAACACTAAAAAGACCAACCCTAAGGCTAATTGGAGTTACAGAAAAAACAGAATCTAGCACAGGCAGAATTATGTTTATAGAAATCACAGTAGAAAAATTCCTCAAAATGAGAAGAGTTAAAAATAGAAGTAAGCAAGGCTTACCAAACTCCCAAAAACTATGATGAGGGCTGGGGATTTAGCTCAGTGGCACCATGCCTGCCTCACAAACTCAAGGTCCTGAGTTCGAGCCTCAGTACAAAAAAAAAAACTATGATGAAAAATGCTCACCAAGGCATATCCTTATTTAACTGCCAGATATCCAAAAACCACAGCAACCAAATTTTAAAGTAGAGAAAAATAAAATATCGTCAATAAAGGTAAGCCAACTAGAATTACAACAGACTTCTTGACACCAAGCTTAAATGCCAGAAGAGTTGGGAGTGATGTATTCCAAGCTCTAAGAGTGAATAATTTCCAATCTAGTTTAACTTACCCAGGAAAGCTCTCTTTCAAAATAGATAGAGAAATAAGGTCATTTCATTAAAAAAAAAGACCACCTCAAGAGACATATGAATGCTAAACAAGCACTTCAGACAATACTCAAAAAATATCCTAGGCAGAAACACTAAAGCCAATAGGGATGTTCCTCATTTAACAACCTACTTGTTTTAATGACTGGACTTAAACTGAGCCACACTGTTTCTGACCCATGACCCACCACTCAGACTTATGATCCATCTTCTTTTTTGTACAGGCCCGCACATATTACTAGAGCCACAATGTCTTTTTTCTGTACAGTACACCTTATTTAAATAGGATTCTAATTTCTACAAATTGTACTGTAGAGTACAGTACTGTAGTTATGCTGTTATGCATTATAGTACTGTGCGTAAGAATTTTGCAAATGAAAGCAAAGTCACCAAGCTGGAGTTTCTTTTGACCTTTTATTTGTCCTAGATATTGTAAAGTACATACTGTACACAATTCCTCATTTAGCACCCCATTTATTTAGTGACCTAATTGCAGAAACAGGACTCAGTCATTAAATGAAGAATGGATGTAGCCTATTCTATTTTGGGCACATTCACTAAGCATGTTGTACAAATAAGCACAGCATCTGTGAAAAGACGAATATCTTGAAAATATGTATTATTTTTATAATGTCTAATACTGGACACAAGTAAGTTACCATATATGTATTCTGGATATTAAGACAAAAAAGCATCCTCAAAAAATACACGATTTCCCTGTTTTGATGGAGAAGGGAATGATTTGGAGCTCAGTTTTATGAAATTCATTGATCACAGACAATACAGGCAGAACAACTATGACAAAGGGCCAGAAAAACTTATCAGTACCCTCTCTCTACTGGCCCACTTCTAAGGACTATTTTCTTCCAACAGTTCCTCAGGGGATAATAAAGCTGATTTACTTGGACTTAAACATATTCTCAGACATAAGCAAACTCTTTAGAAGAGATGTTACCTTTGAAACTATTTGGTAGGTAGGAATGTCTCATGGGTGCACATATTTTCTCAAGGGTTGTATATACTTCTGAAACACAGCAAACAATTGAAAACTTAATTATCACTGCTATTCTTGGCCCTGTGATGGTGTTATGAGTTTAATTTTTGCCTTACATTCCTGACTAGTAAGCTCCTTTACTACATGCTTTCTGTCTTTTTATCCTCCAAGGTGTTTACTGCAGAGGTGGACAGAGCAATGGCTCCATTAATGCCAGTTTCACATATTTGCCAGTTACAGTGAGATTTACAGAGTCAAGGAGGTTCATGGTTCTGTGATATCTTGTGAGTAATATTTTTGTTTAATCAGTTCCTTGCAATGATCTGCAGAAGCTCTTTTATCAATGAGCCAAAACTGCATTTTAAGACACAGCTTCAGGCAATATCAACCGTGTGATCAGTGTAACCTCGAAGAATTCATGGAAACGGCTAAGATGCCAGGAAAGGGCATGTGAGGAAACATTTATAGATTTATATTTATATTTTATATATATTTATATATATATAAGTAGATTTGCTAGAGATCATATCAGGATTGGATTACTTTGCAATCTTGATTACTGATGAGCACTTTCAATATCATTGCTATATCAGAAGATATCCTGGGTTTTCTGAATAATTTGTATCTGGCTTTTCCTGACATGTGGCATTAGTATTGCCTGAACCCAGCTAATGTGAGGATTTGTTGGTGGTTGACATATTGTATTTTAAAGGTTATTGGAGAGTGTGTGCTCTTAAGAAAAACAAATCACTTTCACCTAATTTGATAATATGATGGCTAAAACATATATTACTCATTTAACAAGCTACCTGTTTAATGACTGTTCAGATATATGACTGAAACACACAGTTAAGACTTACAAACCAGTTCTCAGACTTATGTCTGACCTGGCTTTTGTTTTTGTATAATTCTGTACAACTTGTTGGTGGAGCCTCAATGTCTTTATTTTATACAGTACACCTTTTATAAAGCACTGTAGTTTCTGCTGATTGTACTATACAGTAGAGTACTGTAGTTTTATGTTCTGTTATACATTACAGTACTGCCTGTAAGAGTTAGGGAAATAAAACCAAAGTCAAATTCTAGTTTCCTTTGACCTTTCCTCTGTTCTGAATATTCTAAAGTACATACTTTATACAATTCCTCATTTAGTGACCAATGACCAGAACATGGTCATTAAATTTCTACTGTCTGTATAGGTAAAAGCCCAGACGAAATGAAAAGAACAAACAAAGTCTATTGGTAAACAACAACAAAAATCATAGGAAATCAAAAAACAAAGAAGTTACCAACAGAGAAAGAATGCAATGATAGTAATTAGTCAACACATCTCTAATATTTCTCAATATTAATGGCTTCTGCTCTCCAATTAACAGACACAGATTGCATCAAAAAAACAGAATCTAGCAGTTCAAAAAACTCACTTAATGCAAAACAATATTCATAGACTAAAAATTAAAGAATGTAAAACAGTATTTCATGCATTAGATCCCCAAAAAGAAGCAGGTATAGCGATTTTAATCTGAGACAATGTGAGCTTCAAGATAAAGCTGATTAGTAGAGACAAAAGTCACTACATACTAGGTAAGAGAACAATCCAACAAGAATACTTATGTTTATAAATGTTTATGTATTGAGTACTGGAGCACTTATCTTCACAAAACACATAATGCTGAACATAAAAGATCAAATAAATACACAATCATAAAGAAATATCAGAGATGAACCACATCCATGGACATATGGAATTAATAGATATTTATAGTGCATTCCACTCCTAGACATTCTTTTCTGTAGCACAGGGTACTTTTTCCAAAATAGATCACATACCAGTTCACAAAGCCTGCTCAAATAAATGAAAGAATCAGAGCCGGGGATTTAGCTCAGTGGTTTTGCTGCCTGCTGCACAAGTGCAAGGACCCGAGTTCGATCCCCAGTACCAAAATAAATAAATAAATAGATAGATAGATAGATAAACAAATAAATAAATAAATATCACTCCATGTGTAGTATCAGATGAGTATGGAATGAAAATAGAAAGCAGGGCCAGGGATTTAGCTCTTTGGCACCATGCTTGCTTCACAAGCGCCAGGTCCTGAGTTCGATTCCCAGTACCAAAAAACAAAAACAAAAACAAAAACAAACAACAAAAAAGAAAATAGAAATCAATGACAATAGAAATCACAGAAAAAGAAAGAAGAACCTGGAAAATCAATCACACACTCCTACTCAACCAATGGTAACATAAGAAATCCAGGTAGGTATATAAACATTCCTGGAAGTTAATGGCAATGCCTGTACAAGTCACTATAAACTTTGGGTCACTATGACAGTCTTGAGAGGAAGTTCACTGCGATCAATTCTCAAATTAGGAAAATCAAGCAGGTCCAGATACATAACCTTATGAAAACTCTTAAGATACTTGAAAAGCAACAATCCAGGCCAAAACCAACATTAGGGAGGGAAGTTATAAAGATTA